GGGCCAGAGTTTGACACCCCTGCTTTAGACCTTCATGGATTTGAACTTTTCGTGTCATCTCTCAAATAAGCCACTTCAACCCTCATCATTGCCACCTGTGAACAAAGATTCAAAGAGCTTTCATCAGTCGATTTTGTCTGAACCTACTAGAGGGGCCCTGAGGTCCAGAAGGGCCGGGGGGGCCGGGGAGCCCAGGTGAGCCGGGGAGTCCTTCGGAGCCATAGCCTGGTATGCCTGCGTTACCTTTCTCTCCCTTCGGGCCTGGTGTTCCAGGAAAACCTGGGGATCCGCCACGGCCTGCATATGCGTCAGGAGGACAGAGGAGATGATTTAGTAAATTGACATTTTACTGTAAAAATAAACCCAACAGTTTATCAGTTGCAGATTATTCATGATTACACTATATGTGCGTACCAAATCTACATTTATTGATTATTCAACCACTAAGTATTTATACTGTTTAAGTGTCTGCAAATATTACCTGAACCATAAGCAATTCCTGGTGGGCCTGGTGGTCCTGGGAATCCTGGAGGTCCCTGGTCACCACGCGCACCAGGAAATCCACCAAGACCTGGGTCACCCGGTGATCCTACGGCCAATCAGAGAAGAGACAAGTCAACACAGGAAACTTGCACACAATGAAAGTTTACTCACAGTTGACCTGTGATTGATCCATTGAATTATTTGTATTTTGTGCGTTTGTTTCACCTTGAACAGCAGTGCCATAATTACTAACGTAAGATGGAGGTCCTGGTGGTCCGGGTTCTCCCTGGTCTCCCTATTAGACACACACAACCAGGTCACGACAAAATATCACATCACAGTAATGTCTTCGACTTGAATTGTGGTGTGAAAAAACGGATGCCAAGCTGAAAGGATTCAGGGTGATTTAATGCCTACTCTGATCAACCTAAGGGGATTGCTTTTATATGTTAAGAAACAACAAGCGCATTCTCGAAAAAGTTAGAAGAGAAAACTGATACCACTCTTATTTGTAACTGTTATGATAAATGCTAGTTTCAGGAGCCAGTTAGTTTAACATTAGCTTAGTATACATTCTGGAAACAAAAATGTAAGAAACGCTGGCACCATCTGCTGGTAAAACAAGGGTATTGCAATACAAATCCATTATATATATAACGTTACATACAGTTTATGGTACAATTTTGGGCAGGATTTGAGCATGTAGTTGAGTTTGTTTAACAATGGAAAATTGATTTTTGCTGACCCACAATGCAAGGCACAAATAATCTTCTTCTTGAAAAAGTTAAAGTAATAATAAATGGTGGTAAAGCAGCTCCAGGAACACATTAGAAAAACACATTGTCTCGTATACTAACAGCAAAAACAGCACACTATGAAGGTCAGTATATTAAATACTGTATGCTGTTAGTATATGGTATGGAATTGGGACACAGCAAAATACTCTTACTGTCAGCTAAGACTAGGACTCTTTGTGAAACAGGAGGTGTGTGCAAACACGCACACAAACACACACACTCATTTTACCTTGGGTCCAATGTATCCTGGTTGCCCAGGGAAACCTGGGTTGCCTGTATATCCCTGTGTCAGAAACAAATCTGGTTTGAATTTACTGTACAGATGACGGGGTTTTCAGCAAATACTGCACAAACAGCATAAGTGTTTATGCTATAACAGTACGTACAGTAAAATGATAAAACAGGGCTAGATATAACGATGAATGCCAATTCACACTCTGAAAAGAGGAACATTTGAGTTTTTATTGTGCATTTTACTGATAATTCGTCAATATCTACTAACATTTTACTTAACAGAGTATTTTAGCAAGCAGCATAAGTATTGTTGTCATGGTAAGTTGCAGTAAATTGTTGACCGTGTGCTGTTTAATGGTTTGAACTGACACTTGTAAGCCAATCAGAAATTTATATTTTCTGTGGCCATTTTAGTGGCTCATAATATTGACTTTTCAGTTGTTGAATATCAAACAATAAAGCCTACCTGTTGTCCTGGAGAACCAGGAGGCCCATTAAAACCAGGAGCACCCTGTTTAGTGGAATCAAACGCAATATTCACCACAAAGGAAGAGGAAATGGAAAAAACAATGCAAAATATTTCACCATGGAACCAACAACAAACAAGAATTTCTACTTTTTTCTACTTCTTCTCCAATGTATGAAATAATATAATAAATAGTCAGTTGTTAGCTCTTACTCTTCCGCCGGGGTATCCAGGAATGCCTTTCTCTCCAGGTTCACCGCGATAGCCAAAAGGTCCCTGGAAAAGAGAGATAGGTACGTGATTCTTGACAGTAAAGTCACCTTGCATATTTGCTATGATATTAGCATTTAACACATCACCAGTATGTCTAATTGCTTGTACAAAAATTGCATAAAAAATTGTTCTGGTAAGAAAAAAAACAACAAACTTACAGGTCGGCCAGTGCTGCCAGGAAATCCTTTAATTCCCTTTGGGCCAGGTTCACCCTTTGAGAAAGAAAGTGAGAGAACCAAGGTGAACTTGAGAACAGCACCATTTTGGAGTGTTTAGGAACAACCAGGGTTTCTGCAGGTTAAATTTAAGACTTTTTCAGACCTTTTTCAGACCATTATGAATGCAATTTGAGATCTATTTTACATCCATACAGGCAAAAAAACCTACAAACGATATGAAGGAAAATTGGTATTTGATCCACATTTCTTCAATACAATACAAATTTATCCCAAAACAATTAAAACCAAGACTGAAAAATGTAATGTTAATTATTGCAATCCATAATTAATTTTAGACCAGTCAAAATCATATTTGAGACATTTTAAGGCCTAAAATTTAAATAAAACCTTTCAAGACTTTTTAGTCTTTCAAGACCCAGCAGACACCCAGAACAACAAAGTAAACTATGAGCAATGCAGTAAACAGATTGTATCTGGTTTTCTGGTTTTAAACTGTTCATACATTATCTTACACATTCTTTTTATGTAAACTTACCTTTGAAAGTCCATGCAAACAGTAAAATCAAAAGAAAGACAAAAACAACAAAAACTGTCCCACTAACACTGGATTTAACTCTCTCAATCTGGCCTTAAGGGTGGTGGGAATAATATGGATCATGTCGATGTTGAAACAGATTGGACTGGCTGAGGTTCTCATTGAAGTCTCCCAGCCCAGCCACAGCACTGTTCAAGCCTCGAGAGGATGCACTGCATTGGGCTTAGATAGCTGAGGATTACAGGGTGGATGACTAAAATTATTTTCATCTCGATGGTTTGCTACCACTAATGTTCACGGGGGTTTTCCACCCAGTATTCCACTTCAGATGCAGTATCTCTCTTTGCTTGACATTCATAATTTGAGAATGAAAAAAAAAGCATTCAGTTATGTGATTAATTAAACTATTATGTCATCAAAAGGATCATTTGTTTTTAGTTACTTCATGGATTAAAATGTTGTGGTTTACAGTAATAGATAATGCTCAAATCTTGGATGTCTGAGCGCCCTTAAATGCAACAACAAAGACATACCTTGATAACAACAGCATTACCACGTGACGATAAAAAGTATTTCCTTTTCCTTTTCCTGCAAGTTAGTTTCACATCTAGTCAAGTTAAAGGTGGGTCAGTCCTTCTGGAGAGTTGATTCTTGAGTTGCATTCCCAAGTCATCAAATACCGAAGCTTTGGATTGGTGGCTCAAAGAAAATGGATTGTTGAGTCAAATTTGCATTGCCACCTGTTATGTTGCATGGCTTGTGGTTCCCATTTACCTCAACCAAAAAGTCTTTATTTGACGACTTTGGAATGAGACTCAACAACCAACTACCTTTCTCAGAATTGGCAGACCCCGCCTTAGATTTCCATACTGTATTGAATTGAGATTAAACCATAAAATGGTTAAATAGCATTGGTATGTTTCCAAAGAAAGACAAACAAACAAGCCAAACCACAAGTAACTACCAATCTTTGGATCCTTCCATCCAAGACAATCTTGCAAAGATGAGGTAAGAGGCCACACGGCTGTATTTGGACACTCTCAGACATTATAACCATGTCCATCTTTGACTCAGTGTGGGTCATCCTGCTTGGAAATGTCCACTATGAGAAGAGTTGCATTTTCCTACAAACCTGCATTCCTTTGTCTCCTTTGGGAAAACCCATTAACTCCACAACGCCATTGACCATTGGCTGGCCGGGGTCACCGGGCAAGCCCACGTCGCCCTGGATGCCGTAACCAAGGAAGAGAGAGCTGTTTACACTGGCCATGAGGGTATAAGGTGGGAACAAGGAGGTGGAAAAACAACGGCAGAGTTCTGGGGCATTTACGGGGGACCGTTGAGACCGAACTGTGGATAAAGCCACTGAAGGGGTTGTTGTGTACAGAGGGAGTAGAGGAGTAAGTAAATACTAGGGTGGTGATGAGAGGCTGGTCTTATTAGAAAAATGTCATTGCTTTAGTTAAAATTGATAAAAGTCCAAGAATCTTTTGAGGCAGGAAGGATCTAATTGGTTGAGTTACACCTCAATCAAAGGAGTTTTAAATTCATGTATTACTTATGATGAAAGTCTTCATCTTGGTCCATCAACAGAATATCTATCTGCATAAAGATTAGCTGGATTTTGGGCCAAAAAAATCTAAACAAAAACTCAAGTTATCAAGTGTTTACGAAGCTTTCGGACAGATCTTGAATTCTGTACTGGACAACTTCATCCACTGAAGAAAGTCACAAAATGTGGTTGGAAGCTACAGAAAAACCAAGTTATTTTACAGGTCAAGCATGGATTGTTAAGCTTCCCAATTTTCTTTTCCTAGGGCAGGGGAAGAATAACCTTCCATACTGCCTAATTGACTGGTCCTCTTCTTTGGTTGGGTTGGTTAGGTTTAGGGTAAGAATATCAGGGTGATTCTTGTGTTTCAAGTTGTTAATCGGACTGTAAATAATGACCGGTGCACAGAAGAGGAAGTCTTGGCCATCTGCTATCCTGATATCCACTGGCTACACCTGAAGCATTGACTGTTTCGAGATTCATAATCTGCTAGATCATGATATAATAGCCTTCATTCAAGTTTTTACCCCCTTTTCCTATAATTGTGCATCACATATTGAGTATCTTTGTAAACCTTTGCAATAAGACTAGATTTAAAATGAACTTCAGTGGGGTGAAAAGTTTATTTCTGCTTTCAGAGGAGCTCTACTTGTAGTATTGTTTGACAATCTCCAAAGATTCTGGACTGATGCTATGTTGGACCAACCTCTCCTCTGCCTCACTCCTAAATCTCCTCCTCCTTCGACTCCTCTCTTCTCTGTGACAAAACACATCCTCCCCTCCCTGGCTGTAAAGTTTGCTGCAATCACTGCTCCTCTTCCTCTTTCCACCAACAAACAGCCTGCTGCGTTACTGACCTTCTTCACCACTTTAGTGAAACCCCACCTTGTGTGTGTGTGTGTGTGTGTGTGTGTGTGTTGTGGAGGAGCTACATCTTCTGCTCCTAGCCTTCCCTTGCTGTGTTACCTTATCTCCTTTGTAGATAGTGAGAGTTTTTTCGCTGCTTAGTGACCCGTCGCCGGGAGTACCACTGGGCCCGGGAAGACCCACGTCGCCCTGGAGTCCGAAATACATACAACACACGTTAGCCAATCAGGAGGGTTGGGGAGGGGGCGGAGGAGAGTCAGGAAGAAATAACGGGAGGTGAGAGGAAAAGAAGTAGACAGGAGAGAGCAGCAGAAGGTGAAGAAAACATGTATGAAAGGAAACAGAAAAATAAACAAAGTGTATAGAAAGATAGATAAATACACTACATGGCCAAAAGTGTGTGGACACCAGACTCGTATGTGATTGCTGATCGCATGAAGGTTTTTGTGGCTCCAGAGGGAGCTGCAAGGAACCTGATCTTGAGTCAGGGTCAGTTGGTGCTGAAGACTACAACCTTGAAAAAATATCAGGGTGAAGAGTTAGAAAGAAGAGAGTTTAACAGACTTCTGTAGCTCAGCTTGAGCTCCAAATTACATCAGTCACTGGTAACACCTGGATCTCTAACTGAACTGTCCACGGTTGAGTTGCACGGTGGGTAATGTAGGCACCATATTTCGAAAACAAAAAATAAAGTGTGGAATAAAGTCCATCGTAGAAATTGGAGGATTTAATATCTATGGATACTAAGGAAATACCCCAAAAGTAACTCAAAACTCACCTGTTTACAATGGCCTTTGTGTACTTCCTATTTATTTTTACTCTTCTTATTATTTATTTTATATCTGTCATCTGATTTTTAATTGTGGAGCAGTTTGCGACATCTGCTCATGAAAACTGTTGCATAAATAAAACTACCTGCTTCCAAATAAAACACTGAAATCCTCAGAGGAAAAGTGAACAAAAGCATGTCTGTCCACATACCTTTGGCCATATAGTTTGCAGAGATAGATAGACTGAACAAACAACCTGTGGTTCCCATAGATCTGAGGTTGAGAATAAACTATCACGCTCAAAAGAAGAAGTGATCCAGGAGAAGAAACCAAAAAAGAAAATAAAAAAAGAGAAAAATTAATGCAGAGAGAGAGGAAGAGAGAACACAAGACAAAGAGAGAAAAGAAGAAGAGAGAGCTGAGGGATACTTTATCTTGAATTTCTTGTGGATCAAATTTTAAGAAATTTCGAGCGCCCATTTTTCCCCGCAGCTCAAAGGGAAACACAAATGCATCCTACGGGAATGTATCTCAACAGGCTCAGCAGTAAATCCAGCTGTTTCCACATTCAGTTCAACCCTGAATCCTTCCGAGTTCAGTGTTTGAGGGTTTGATTGAGCGTAAACATGCATGCAGTGTATGAGGAAGATGACTGTTAGTACTCTTGTATGACTGTTCAAAATGAGATGGGTGGGTGGGTGGATGGATGGGGGATGAGGAGTCAAAAGAGCAGGCAAATGAACTACAGATCCCAGAGTTCACCACCAAGATGCCCAAAAACGTGATTAAAAAAGGGGAGGTGCAGTGCAACGTGGGAAGGAGGAGCAAGTGATTCCAGCACCCAGTTACAGTCCACAGATCGTCCTCCAGAGTGACAGCTCAGAAATTTAAAAATGTCCTTTTTTTAATTATAATTAGTTTAATTTTCTTCATTTAAGAAGGGTTTTAAAATTTAAAGCTGCACAGCTCAAGATTTGATACATTTTTCTTAAGCATCCCAATTCTCAAATTTCCCAATTTGGGAGAAAAATCTAGAAAAATCTCTGAACTGTCATCCAACAGCGAGGGAAACAGGTGTGCGATGCCACTGGTCAACTCACAAACAATACTTGAATTAGTTTTTGATCTAGAAATTTTTTTAATCACTCTTTTAAGAATTTGAATATGATTCGAAATGAAACACAGAATCCAGATCTGACAGAAAACATCTCAGTGAGTTTGTGACTTGTCTCAGTGGCTCAGCACAGATCATTTGAAAGAACAAACCAGACTGAATCAAGTAGAGGTTCATGTGATCTTTTTATCAAACAGGAAACGGATGCAACAAACAGTTCAGTAGTTGTGTCAATCTGGGGATGGAGAGAGGAGGAGGAGGAGGAGGAGGAGAAGGGAGGGATGCAGGGACGGGTGGGGTTAAGGAGGGATGGATGGATGGAGGGTAAATTGTGTTGGACGGAAGAAGTACAGGTTGTCAAGCCACCACCAGTCAGATTTTTAACATGCGAGGTATTATATCCAACCAATTCATTTTACAAACATGCATACACACATCAGTGCACACACACTCACACACAGACACACACACACACACACACACACACACACACACACACACACCTAGGACCCAGCTAGAGCACTCTAAGCCTGCTGTTTTGATGCACTAATCTGTCGCTGATGTTTTTGGGAATAAAGTGGGAGAAAGTGTAAAAAACACTCCAAAAAAATCTTTGTATCATTTGATCACAAAAAATATTCTTTGGGAAACTTTTAGGCGAAAACGTCTGATTTAGTGAGGCATAAAGGTTTAAAAGGCCACTGGTTTCAACCTCACTGAGTCGATACAGGTCCAGTTTATTGTAATCGATCTGTTTTTATTATTTTTCCTGATGAAGAACCTGTCAATGTTTTAAACCAACAAAAATGTTTTTTTATTATTATTTCTTTACTGCGACCTGTTTTAAGTGAAACTGATTAGGCATTGACTTAAAAGATTGTGCTGTGTCTGGGAGATGTTAGCCAAATGTAGCTTAGCACAAAGACTGTAAGCAGGCAAAAGCAGCTTGATTGCTAACTAGCTAAACAAATAGCCAAAAATACATTCAAAATCTGGCTGAAAATTCCATATTTTTGTATGTTAATTTTGTCAAAAAGATACTGAATCTCATGAACATCTACATCTACACCTGTAATATTAATACACTTTTTGGGCCAGAATGCATGGGGGTTAGTTTTTGAATATTATGTTAAGTTTTGTGTTTTTATGCAAAACAAAGATTTTGTTGAAATTTAAATTTTAAATAATATTTTAACTGTAGGTAAATTTTACATTCACAAGTGTAGATTTTAGTGTCTCCAAGCTTGAAAATCTTCTTTATATCCTTAAGACTCGGAATTACTTGCGTTACATACTGATTAAACCTCCTTTAAGTTGATTTAATTAACCTACATTTTAGATCCTTTTATTTCTCTTATGTTTGCTGCTTGGATGCATTGTTACGTATGCTTAAAAACCATTGATGATGCCTGTTTATTATTTGAAAAAGTTTAATAAGTAAAACATTTTAAAAAATCACTTATGATGGAGCAATACTTCCCACAGCCTGTTTGAGTGCTAAGCTAGGCTAATGCATCCCAAATGCACACCTGGAGAGACAGACATCAAACTGATATCGATCATCAGACTTATTTGAGCCAAGATGATAAACTATTCTTATGTTGGACTTCCTCTAGGGTTTGTTTTCATACGTTTATTGTCGTGGATTTTACACTTTCTCTGGTCTCTGAATCCATCTCAAACTAGCACCTGAGATGACATCCTGGAGATAAAGTATCCTCAATCTCACTCACATTTGATTCGAAACATATTTGTTTCATGCTTTATTACGTCTGTATGTGTGTGTCATTTCTCCGGTGGGAATTAACACCAAAACAGACAATGAAATACTAGCTAATTCTTTTCCTGTTTATCGTGTAGGTGATGGAAGATTTGTACTCATTACCAGCATCAACAGGCCGTTATGTGTGTGTGACTTAATCTCTAAAGACAAATGAGTACATATGAGCTCGTCAGTTAACAAAGCGTACCTTGTCTCCTCTCTCTCCTTGATATCCGTCACTACGGCTCCCCTAAAAACAACAAGGGTTAACAAAAACTTGGAAAAACAAGAACAAAAAGCTTTAAACTGTAAAACTGAGGCAAAACTCCTTTACAATCACTGCTTACTGCCTTATAATAGAATATAATGCATCACTGTACTTTATTATTTTACTTACCATTGGCCCTGGGGGACCGGGAGGACCAGGCGGGCCCTAAAGACAGACGACAGAATCAGACTCAATTTCACAGATAAAGTAAGAAACAAAAACACAAGTAATTTGAAGAAAATTGTGTCTGTAATGACTTTTAATGTAATGAAAACACAAAAAATCATGCAAAAAGCATTAATTCTGCAATTCTAACTTCAGTATCACAGTACTACTTTATATTAGAATAGAAATGATTTAATGTAGTTGTATTTAATTTCTTTTACACATTAGCTGTAACTTTCTTACCCAAAAGGTAATAAACTACTTAGAAGTTAATTAACACTAGCTGATGTAATAATGAATTAACTTTTGGTATAACGAACTGCTTTTCTGCCATCTTCAGCTCCTTTACTGCAAAACATTTTCTCACCGCTTGAGCAGGTTGTGAAGTAATCTTGGTTTTACATAACAATCAATCATACAACAATCTGAACCTCAGAGCATTAGAAATATGTAACTGGATATGATGTTAAGACACAGGGAGCAAGTGGAACAGATACATTGGTTTACATACAGGGTATCCGTCAGGGCCGCTTGGACCAGTAAACCCAGGTGGACCATCAGGACCTCTGATACCCTGCGGAGAAAAACATTTAAATCTCATTATTTTACACTACTGATGGCAATTGTGTAACTACAATTTAGTTAAAAATGCATGCAGTTAGTTCTCTTTTTTCGTTTTCCTGTTATTTTTTACACTGACCTCACAAAGTCAAATTCAATATATTTGCATTACAGCATTTTATAGTGCTTAACTGTGTCATTTTGTATTAAAGATAATTCATCACAATGTTGTTGCATGTAAGCAGAAAAAGTGGAAATCTTACAGGTTGACCGTTCTGTCCTGGGAAACCTGGTAAACTCTAAATGAGGAAAAAGAAAAAGGGATTAATTAACAATTAATCATTTAATAATTGTCAAAATACAATAAAGTTGTTTTGGAACTAGGAGAATATCTAAATCCTGTTTGTACACAGATGAGATTCATGCAAAATTTCATGGGCGTTAGACTCATGACTAAAACTACTGCAATTAAATGTCACTGTACTGCTACTATAGCACCACCTGGTGGCCAAAAACACACTTTGCATGACATATGATTATATCAGTGAGTTATGATTTTTCTGTGAAATATGACAAATGATGGAAAATTAATATGGAATGTTTTAAAATTTTACACTGTATCAGGAGTGTTAAACTAATTTCAGGTCATGGGCCATGTACAGTCCAATTTGATCGCAAGTAGGCCAGTAAAACCAGTAAAACCGGTGCATTATAGCCTATAAATAACAACTCTTCCAAATGGTTACCTTTCTTTTAGTGTAAAGAGTACATAAGGAAAAAGCGTCCATAGACAAAACAGCCTGAGATGCTTAAAGAAAAATAAGTGCAATATGTCTCAGTTTTCTCCACAGTGAGTCGGTCCATAAGCATTACAATTTACAGATCACTGTGGATCTACAAAAGGCACAAATTGGTGAAATCCACACCAATATCTAGTCATTTTCCACCAAATTGAATTAAACATTTCTACACGTTTTTGAGAAATCCGAACAAAGAGACAAACTACTGGACAAAATAATTTTTCTTCATATCAGAGTATATTCATGTCAGTCTTTCAAAGGCTGAGAAGAGACTAAAGATCAGTTCACACTTTAATAAAGACAATATAAAGAAATCCATTATCTTGTGTGTGTGAGTTAATGTGAATATGTGTGTGAGATTTTACCGGGAAGCCGTCATCCGAGATGAATCGAGGTTCTCCTTTCTGACCCTTTGGCCCAGTAGGCCCCTGTTGGAGGAAAGGACGCCATCAGTATCCCTTTATCTGTCACATGCAGTGACATTATTCTCTAAATAATGAGATTAAAACATCCAAAATACAATGTAGACTAATAAAAGAGGAATTGATGTTCGTCCTCACAGAAAATCCAGAAGCTCCAGGTTCCCCTGGAGTGAGTGGTCCGTAGCCAGGCGGTCCAGGATCTCCTCTGGTCCCGTTACAGCCGTCCAGTCCTGGTGGTCCTCTGCCACCCTCAAGACCAGGGTGACCCTACACAGAGAAGGAGAGGAGGGCTTTTGTTCTCACGTGACAGAAATATTTCAACAATAGTGCTGAAAAAAGCACTTTACTTTACAAACATGAATACATATATGTGTGTAGTTGTGTTTCTGGTGTACTTACAGGGACTCCATCATTTCCTTGGAACCCTGGAACTCCCATAGGCCCCTATATAAGTAAATAATCAAAAGTGTTCATATATAATCAGTTTAAATAGCAACACCTGGTTGTGAAAACATGTTACTGCTTGGTTGATGCAGACAGACAATTGTTTGGATGAAAGTTTGTACATTTATCTTATCATGAAATACAATTAATTCAATATTTCAAGTTAAATAATTCATGTATTTGGTAAAGAATAATTTAAAAAGAGGTTATTGGTTCACTGTCTAATATTTAATTGTAAAAACAACAAATGAACCATTTTAAGATCTATAACACCCACTTTGTCTCCTTTTACACCAGATGGTCCTTTCAGTCCAATGTGGCCCTTCTCTCCTTTAGGCCCCACAGGCCCCACAGGCCCACGTGGCCCTTCTGATCCACTCTGACCAAGTTCCCCGAGAGGCCCAGGACGACCCTGAGAGAAAAGAGAAGAGACATGGTCACTTTTCAAGCCAAGAAGGAAGAAAAAACAGCAGATATCCACCATGAAGTTCCTTTTTTCCCCTATTTATTAGTATTAAGTCAAATTGGGCCTCACTGCAGAGGCAATAAAACAACAGCATGTTCCGAAAAACATTTTATTAAACACAAAGTGAAATTTTTTCTGACTTCCAGGGATTTAATCAAGTCCCTTAAGGAAGTTTTACAAATCAAATCAAATAAATCAATAAGCAAGATAAGGGGTAACCCTAAAATAAAAACCTAAAAGATACAATTGTGCATGGTGTGTTGTCAGTCTTATTCTCCAGAATAACTGACTCTGCCATTAACCTCCTGTGAACAGTCCATAACTGCATGCTGCTATATAAATATTGTGGTAATTTGGGGATATAATATCTTAATCCAGTCCTGAAAATAGTCATCAACAGACGCACTATTTCTCCTGTTTAAGTGATGTTTGCTATAAGGCACAGAGACCAGCTGTTTCAGGGAATTACTGAGCCCAATTTAAAATGAAACTACAATATTTGTGACCCATTTTTAAAGATTTATTTCTTCAGCAGGAACCAGTGTGAGTGGTTTTGGGAGATGCATGGAAAAAAAACGGGGAAAAAACATCAGCCTTACCCTCTAACTTATATTTCCTGTCATAAAAATGACAGTTTGTAGTTGGGGCCACGTGTATCCACATCTAACACACCTCTGATCTTTTGAAAGAACATTTTTAATGAATGCATCATTATTGTGACTTATGTCTGCATCCTCACTATGACTTACATCTAATTAAAAATCTCAGTGAAGATGTGATAATCCTAAGTAAGTGACCTGCATACAACGCCCAGTGTAAGCCTCTAGTATGACCCATTATCAGCTTTATCTGATGTAGTCTGAGTAAACAGTGTCTTCATTTCCACATCATTCTTTCCTTCCTTTCATCAACATCATTACACACCATCATCTACCTGATGAGGGAGTGTTTCGAGCTAGGGGAAACACTTGCAAACAAATTCCTGGGGAAGCCATTTTGTCTTTGTGTTATGGATTTGATGGGTGTGTTTACATGAGATGGGAACAAGTCAGGGCGGAAAACCCAGCTGTGGGTTTTTTTTGTTTCTCATGGAGGGATGTTAACACGTGAGTGTGCCTTACAATCCCGAATCTCAGAGGGATGGTGAGGTGCTTTATGTGGGCATGCAGCGGCATGTGGGCTCAGACGGTGGTCTGCGAGAAAAAGTGCTACTGTGGGTTCGAAAATCAAAGAGAAGAAAGCTGATTTTTTTAATTTAACTTATGATAATGTTTTAAAGGATACAACTTTTGGGGGGTATGTCGAGAAAAAAGTTTAATTGTACAGCATTAATCTTGATATGAATGCTGCAGTTGACAGGCTGCACTACCAATTTCAACCACATGATGGCAGTAGAAAAACAAAAACATTAGCAGGTGCTGAGTAAGAGCTGGTGAATGAACAGGCCAAAGGAATCCCTCTCTTAAGAGGCAGAGTTTGTTAATACAAAAACACACATTCACACTACAGCTTCAACTGGTGACAACCTGCCATTAGCTTATATTTTAGGCAGTATAACAGGGAAGTCAGAGAGGAGACAGATGGAGGGAGGAGAGGGCGGAGAGAAGGACAGATGTCTGCGCTCAGGTCAAAGGAAAGTCAGAGGATTTTCAGAGTGAAAAAAACTGACTCAGATAGGCGTATTGGTGTATTATTGTTTTAACACAGTCAGTTAGATTAAAAAGATCCTCCATTAACATGAAAACAGGGGTTTTCTTTTACTGTTGGGTAAATGTAGGCTATATTCCTTATCAAAAATTTGAATGTGAGCAATTTTGTTTCATTACCGCACCGCGAGGAAGCATGCGCACAAATTCATTCATGAAGACGTCACACAATAATGTTAACTGGGGAAGTAAACCAGTGCTGCAGATGTACATTTAACATTTATGAGAGATTTATAGATACATTTATTGAGCTCAGATGCATGTATATACTTGCATGCATGCACGTGTGTGACTGCATATTCCAAAGAATGTTTCTTACGACCACATTCTTATCTTAAATTAGTATCTACCCTAAACGCATGTTTAGCTTTGCCCTTAATTCAACCTAATTTAGCTCCGCACTAACATCACAAAAGTGCAGTATAAGCAGTGCTTGGCACACACACATAGCCTATATGCACATGCACAGAGGTTGCACACCATTCATTACACACAAGGTAAAGGTTAACACACCCCTCTATTATACAAAAAGAAAGGTACTTTTCTACTCCACACCTGGTCCTATTCATATATAACTGCTCTGCCTGCAGACACAAACCCATTTAACTAGTGTAACAACAAATCTAACATCAGGGGACATCATGGAAAGGTCAAATACCAGTTACAAACAAACTTTAGCATTTCTTTTAGCCTGCAGGGTACCAGACAGGTGGAGTTTATAGCATCCGGACCATTTAGATAAAGACTGACAATCACACAGAAGTATAAATCTCTCTTGTGACTGTCCAAACTTTGTTCTGTATGTAGGCATGCCACACTGGTAGTATTTTGGCTATCTAGCTACCCGGTTAGCTTAGCTTAGCTTAACTGTAAAACTCCAACGAGTCCTTTTTACGCTCTTTAGGTTAAACAAATTAGATATAATGTGTTAATTAGTGAGCTTCAGATGTGCCAGTAGATGGATTTTGTTATGTTAAAGGCCAGAATACTTGTTTCCTTCATTTCCAGTCTTTATGCTAAGCTAAGCTAAGCTAACTGTCCGCTGGCTGTAAAACTACATATTTATTGGACAAACACATGAGTGGTATCAATCTTCTGGGCATCTAACTCTCGGCAAGAAAGTGGATACGTGTATTTCCCAAAATTTTGAATTACTCATTTAATCTTTATCAAAATTAACTTTTTTGAAAATGAATTAATACACTGAGAAAGTAATAACTAACCTTTTAGACGAATTTACAGACTGCAAAGCTACATTTTAGAATACATAAACTTGACATGAAGTTACTCCAGTGATGTCACTGAGACTTACAGGTAGTTCCTCTTTACTGCACTTGGCTTTTAAAGTGACAATGATCCTGGATTAGCCTTGACCACACTGTGTGTCTAGTTAAGGCTGCAGCTCTGCTTCCAGCCCACGTGGCCTCGGGGCACGCAGGTTACAGTAATGACAGGGCTGTGGCAGGTAAAGGCAGCCTGTCGGAGCTGTCTGGCTCGCACTCACATCTGGTTTCACAAAATATGCCGGGGTCCCACTTTCTCTCACGCCTCGCCCTCCCATCCGTCTCTATCACTCTTTCTTTTCAGCCCTCGTCACTTTGAGTTTCATCTTTTTCATCAATTATTTAATCTTGTTTCTTTATCTGACTTGTTGCTATGTCATTTCTGCTTCCCCCTTCCTTCTATACGCCTGTAAGTCCTAGTGCAACCCTCTCAGGTCTATCTGTGTTCGCGCAACAGCTCCAGAAAAAAAAACATACTTTGGAGGGTTTTCGGGTCACCTCATCAAAAGGCTCCGATGTCTTTGTAGTATCTATTTTTCAGGTCACAGGAGTCACTTTCAAAGACTCGGCTGTCTGCTATTATGTAAGAGGTGAGAGGTGAAGTGTGAGTTAAGGTGAAAAGACTGTTAGGTCCAAGTGTCCAGCAGGCACTGAACAATGCTTTTGTTGTTCTTACCACGCCCTAATCAACCATGGATGCACAGACATAGAGGGACTTTTCCTATTTGTGAAAATCTAACAAATGTAAGAAACAGCCAGTAAAATGTACTCTTCAGAGAGTCTCTTTCATGGTTAGCTGGAAGCAAGTGTCTTTGAGTTTTTGAAGGAGGAAGTGAGGTGAGTTTCTTAAAGGTTTAAACCATCTATCTCTGTTTATTCCCTAACATGGTGTGGAATTAAAAAATGCAGTCTGCGGAGGAGAAGATCACAGAGGAAGAGCAGGGAGTGGAGATAAAAGTGAAGGGATGAAAGGGAACAAATTGGGGGGGACAGAAAACCAATAAAGACAAAAATAGAAGGCTATTAAATCACATCAGATTTTGCTGGACCATGAGGCTGCTCTGAAAATGACCACTAGGTGGCGATCTACCATTTCACACAGGTCACAACATCCAGTGACCTCTGTATATGAAAACTACTGACTTATAAAGCAAGTCTTTTATTGCAAGAAAGCTTTTTAATTGCGATCCACCCTTGTGATTTTCCACCTGATGTTCTGACAAATATTCCAATATCATACAATAATATGACTTTTTATATCAAAGCGATGACTATTTTTCGTAACTTTTCCAAAATATATGCTAATCCTCTAGGCTGCATTAATATCTTTTCGGCCACTAGAAGGCAGAATAACTGCACACAAGCCGATCCCTTGACATAATATCATCCTGTAAAGATATTATAGTGTGTTAGCAAACTGCTGAATTACAGAACTAGAACATCGTATGTACAGACATACAAAAAAGCCTCTTGGATCCATCCAAACTCCTCCTATGGTACTGATCGGATCGACTTCATACTTGGTCAGTGCATTCTAAAGATTACAATTACAAGTGTAAGCAGGGCCTATTCATCAATGCTGGCAGCCTTGATTTGGAGTCGTTTTTCCGGCGACCTAATGAAGGCAAGACGAATAGTTTGGTTTCTACCAACTCCTGAAGAAAATTTCTGGTTCTAAAGAAGCTACAAGTTCGACTTTTTCTACTAGCTAGTCGCTAAATGTGCCCTGCTTGCTTTTTGGTGCTAGGCAGATAGTGTACAGTGTGTCCCTAAATAATTAGTTTCAATCCAACTTGGATAAAACTGGAGGTTAAGATTAAGATTGATTATTTTGGTTAATGCTAGAATATTGTAATGGTTATAATTTTTCCTGTACAAATACAGTTTGTTCTAGTCCACATCAGTTCACATCTGGTTGGCACACATTATACAAATATTGTACTTCGCTTTTTATACA